AGAATTTAGGAAAGTCTAGTTTATGGTGATTAAGAAATGAAGAAATAAGGTAAGTGCTTGATCATGATATATAAAATGGTAAGTAAGCTTTTCTTGGGGAATAATAAAGAAAGGTTTAAGGTAAATAAATAAGATGATCAAATCTTTGTGAGATGGAAGATAGAAATCAAGGAAATAATAGAATTTAAGGAAGATAATTAAAATACAAAATTACCAAAATAATTTGCTCACAAATATCATATGGTGGCCAAAAAATTTGAGCTTTCCTAAGCTCATATTTTTGGACTCTAATGCTAGTTTTTAGGAATTATTTTGCTAAATTTTAAGGATTAAAACTAATTGTGTATATAATATATTTTGTAGAAAATAATTAATTAGTAAAATATCAATTAATAACTAATCTAACTAAGAAAATCAGATTTTCTACACTTAGAAAATCCGAAACTCTTAGCTAAATAATTAGGAAATTCGACCCTTTTAAAATAATGAAAAAATATAATTTTTGCTTAATTAAAATATTCGAAATATATATATAATCCAGTTTTTAAAATAAAATAAATGGATGATAAATCTTATCCAAAATCCAAAATAATAATTGAGTTTTGAAAATGTTTTTGGCGCCAAAATTCAAATACCATTTTGACTCCAAAATTCAAATGGGAAATAATTTACTAAAATACCCTTTTTAGGAAATAATAATTAATTATTTTGGAAAATACGTCTCAAAAATACGGGGTATTATTATAGCGTTCAGCGTCGAGATGTGATAAGTGTCATTTATGGCACTCATAGGGTAGTTTTCTTCTATATTTTATTATTTTGTGCTTGTTTTTAGCTTGTCAAGTCGTGTTTTTAGGTACTAATACTTGATTTGCGTGTTTGTAGTTAGTTTAGAGAAATGCGTGTTTTTAATTGTTTTATTATCATTTTTACACATTTCTTGGCTATTATCTCGCTTTGCCGTATGCTTAATTGACTTGTTTTGCAGGTATGTCAGGATTTGCCAAGGTTTAAATATCGAGGAGGAAGCCAACATCAGCTTTGGAAGTAAAAAAAACTAAGTTCGGGAAGTTAGAGCGCAAGCAAGCAAAGTTAGAACTCAAGGAAAAGAGACTCGGGTAAGTACCTTGGGCAAGATTTGCAAGCTTGCCCAAGTCCTTGAAGTTGAAAATCAAGAAAAGTCCATGTTAAGAGCAAGATGAGTCGCGTGCCCATGCCACCCCCTTCTGCCCGAGCTCCCCTGCTTCGACCTTCCTCGGCCATACTCTCGCAGCAACAACAAGGCTCGACCACAGCTCGAGAAAGTTTTCGGCCACCTGCCCGAGCTCAGAAATGGGTAGCTCGAGCAAGATGAAGGTCATTCTCACGCCAACCCACTTGCCTGAGCTACCCTCTTTTGTAATTTGCGCACTTTTTCTTTTATTTTACTTATAGATATAAATAGTAAGGACCTTCTATTTTTGGTTTAGAGTTCATTTTAGCAAATTTAGAAAGATTAGATCAGCCTAATTAGTGAGTGAAAGTAGAGAGAGAAAGTGTAGATTCAACCTTTGATCTTCATTTCAAATCAATCCAAGTTCCTTCTTCTTTTGATCATCAAGTATTCTTCTTCTTGTTTCATTTTATTGCATTTAAATTTGTTGTTTGATGAAATTGCAAGTTGATCTTAATTGTTTGCTTATTGATTTAGTTTTTGATTTCAATTCCAATGTTGATGATGATGATGATTAGATTAATCTTAGTTTCCAATTAAACATGCTTAGTGAGTAATTCTCTTAGCTAGGGTGTGGGAAAGCATGTATGATTGATGGATTGCTTCTAATTTGGGGATTAAGGTCAATTGAATAATGTGATTGAATTGATTAAATGAAGTGTGCATGTGTTTAATTTGATTTGAGTGGCCAATTAACCTTGATGACTAAGCTAGATTACATTGTAAATCCTTTTGACATTACTACTTGATTTTGGATTTGCAATTATTGATTGGTTTGATTTGTGATTCTCTTGATTTGTCATTCTTAGAGGAAAGCTAGCTTGACAATTAGGAGATAACCTTTCGATCCCTCTCGATAGCCCTTACCATTAGTCCTCGCAATACTTGATTGGCTAGATTTACCCCAAATTGGTGAACCTATCATGAATGCATGTGGACCCTAATCCCTAGCATTTTGATATTTGATTGTTAATATAAAATATGTTGCTTGCTTTTGTCTAGTATAGTTCACATAACAATCTTGTGCATGTTTCGAAATAGCTTGACCTATGACTAATGCAAATAGCTTTCCATTCCTCGTAGTTCGACTCGGACTTACCCTGTCATTAGGATTAAGTTTGAAATTCTTATATTGTTGACTTAGGAAGACTATCGACGACATAGTTTCATCCTTCGTCAAAATACGCCCAAGGAATTTGTCAATAATAAACTGAACAGATGTTTTTTCTTTCATAGATATCAATGGGGACCTAAGATGATGATCAGACAACTGAATTTGTTTCTTTCTAAAAATCGCCTTGAATTCTTCTTGAACAAGTAGAGTAGTGTTGGGGCTAAATTTAATCAGAGATTTTGAGAGATTCAATTCTTCCCCCGACATTTTGATCTCAAGGACTTTAGAGCATGCAGTATTATTAGCTAGAAAATAATTATGGCATCGTTGGTGAAGTATAAGTGAGAAATATTAGGACTATCTCCGGAGATTTTGATTCCCTGAATTGAAACGTCTGTAAATCATAGCCCAAATGCGGTATTCTGGAGAAAATATCCATACAAAAAAGGCACATGTAGGGGGAAAGAGGGTCATCTTGCCGTAGGTCACAATTAGGCCTAAAAGATTCCGAAGTATTGCCATTGGTGGGAGATTTATAAGAGACAGAAGAAACGCATTACTAAATCATTTGAAGCCATCGAGCAAGGGAAACCATAGGCTTTGAGAACTCGTAATAAGAAACTCTAGTGCACTCAATCATAAGCCTAACTCATATCGATTTTAAGCATAGCTAGCGAATTAGTACCAGTGTTTAAAGATTAATAATTTTTGTCCATTAATTCATGTGACATGAGAATATTATCTGTCTTAACTCTCTCTTGGACGAAGGTGTGTTAAGAATTAGAGATAAGTAAAGGCATGTAAGGGCGAATCCTAGCAACTAAGCACTTGGAAGCACATTTATAATGTGTATTACAAAGGCTAATAGGTGGTAAATGGCTCACCTCTATTGGCGTGGATATTTTTAGAATCATAATAAGGAGAGATTGATTCCATTCCTTCAAGAGAAACCTAGTATGAAAGAAATCTTTAATTGTTGTGACCACTGATTCAACTATTGTATGCCAATGAATTTTAAAAAATTCAGCCATAACACCATCTGCACCTATGGAATTATCATTCCCCAAATCAAACATTGTGTCCTATATTTCAGATTGATGTAACATGCCTTTTTAGATTACTAATCTAAGGAGAAGTAAACTTAGGAACATGCAGTTCTAGAAGGATAAAATCTATCTCCGGATCATAAATTGGAACTAAATCACATTTGAAAGTCTTCTTAAGAGATCGGACCATGATCGATTTGTTGTACGTTTTGTTAACCATGTTGTAGAAGTCCTTAGTGAAATTCTTTCAGTCGACCCCCAAGAATTTCTTATTATTGAGCCACCAATTCCTCATTAAGATCCTAACAAAGATTAGTTTCTTCGAGAGAGAAAACATTGGCGATCCATTGCTATATATTTTCCAAGTTTGAATAACAAAGTCATGAATATGTTGGAAATTGAGGCACCAATTGTCCAATTGACAAGGTCTATTCGAATGCTGCCGAAAAGGAGTATCCTCAAAGATAATAACTGCATGATTCAAAACAAGAATAGGTTGATTGAGTAATATTAGCTTATGTAATTAGGGATGATTATTTCCCACAATATTGATAAAACAAAAATAAAATACTCAATTGCATTAGTCTTAAAATAAATTCTCAATCTACCGTCCACGTAGGATTGGTTTAGAGTGTCTACTTTGGTTTAGCTTAAAACCCCTACTTAGCTTTTCTTATTCATTAGCGGTTTCAAAAGAAAAAAAAAATTCAATGAGACGTGACTTTATAATACAATTCTCTTTTTCTCCTTGACTAAATGACAAAACATATCTATACTAATATATTAAAAGGCGTACCTAAGAACGTCCACGTGTAACGTAAACCCCTCTCACTACGCCACGTTACCCACTCAACTAATCATTACGCCACGTGGCTCTCTCTTCCATTTGTTTTTATTGCATGTCATGCACTTTTAAGAAAATCGTTCTCCACAAGATTTGAATACACAACCTATAATTCTAGAACTAAGTGTCTTACCACCAAGCTATGTGATTTTTTATACAACCTTTTGAATTAATATATTAATATGTAGCAAATGATGACAATTTGAACAACAAATTTAATTACAAGAAAATTGAATTATAATAAATTACAACGAGTATTAATGATCAGTTCCATGTAATAATCCGGGGCATAGCCCTGGCCCAAAACTATTTTGATTTTTTTTTAAAAAAAAAAAAAAAGGTTGCAGTGGTAGGTCGCGGGGAGAACGTGGGAATTTGTAGATTTAGATCAAAGAGACCTGGAGACTTGATCTCTAGATTGACATGTCTCTTTTTTATTTAGTTTTTTTTTTCTTTATGTGAAAGTCGTTGTTTGCTGCATTGTTAACCCATATAACCGCTAATACTAATAGCAGTTTTAATAAAGCCGTTAATGATATTAGCGGTTATGTTCCAAAGCAAAGTACATTTTAACAAATCCCCAAAACCAATCCTACATGGACTATGTTTTGGGAATTTGTTTTAAAACCAATGTCTGGGAATTTGTTTTTGTTCTATCATTGTTGAGCAAAATCATCCTGTAATTAGTTTTAAAGTTAATTTACTATATTATTGGTAAATTTTGTATTTAATTAATTGTAAACTCCAAATAATGCTATTAAGAGTCACTAGAAATATATTTGAAAAAAAAAATAAAAATTTTATAATCTTCTATTGTTATATATTTTGTCGGATGCATCCGTGCATGATGCACACCATACTCTAGAGTGTAGGACCTAGTGTTACATAATTTTGGAAGTAATAGGGTATCACAAAGGCAGCATACACAAACTGGCAAAAATTAGTCTGTATCCTGAGTATGATAGTAACAATTTAGCACAACATAAAACTGGATTTCGGTTGAACATGTACATACACAACCCAGTAGGAACAAAGTGTCATGCAGAAGATAGCTACATTGTCTCACCTACAAAATCAGACGTGGGACACCATTCCGACCTCCAGCGTCGAGGCATGAGGAACACTTATTGCATAAGTAGGAGTCCTAGAGTTTCTCCTCAAGAAATCATAACCATAATTGATTGCCATTTTCTTAATAAAACTCGAACCACTCTTGGCTCTCACGTATGAGTGTCCTAGTATGAAAACCATCCCAGATTCCCTTGCCTCCATCAGCTCATGCAACTCTTCTTGTGCCTCGCGATCAATTTGTGGAGTCTCAGGGACGACAAACCTTACCCTCTTCCTTGGCTTATCTAAAGAGTCACTTTTTTGGAGCTCGGATGTGCCAACTATCTCAGTGTTATCTTCTTCATCTTCAGACAATTTAACTCCCCGCTTAGTTGAGAAAGACCCTACAACAGTCAGGTTCTCCTCATCCTCGTCTTCTTGATTATTTTTGCCATCAGGCTTTTCTGAGCGAATGAATTCTGCTATGCTACAAACAAGATCCTTCTCAAACTCAACCTCATCCTTATGATGATCACGGTAACCATATCGAGCAATACACCTATAAATATGATACTCCTTGGGGCCTATTCTTCCAACAAGGAAGCGTTCTTCAGACTGAACATGAGGAACAGGCACATATTTTATGCACAGGAAGACTAGCACTTGATGGAATGCTGGAAGGTTGGTAACAAAGTGAGAGAAAATGGCAGGTATGCCAGACACAAGCTCGGTTTGTATGAGACCAATTCCACGTACTCGGACAATTCCTAGATTGGGACTCAGATCAAGGAGCCAGTTGATGGGAACTTTGTTCTGAACATCAAACTCATACTTCTTTCTAGTGCCATAATGCCATGTATACATTACCATCAGAAAGATGAAGGACAAGGCAATTGGGACCCAAGCCCCTTCGCGGAACTTGATAAGTGACGCTGAGAAGTAGAGTGCTTCTATGGATCCAAAGAAGAATATAAACCCAATAGCAAGAAATATACTTTTTTCCCAGCATAATACAATAACCAGAGACATTAGGCAGGTGGTTACCAGCATCACTGTTATGACTGCCAAACCTATTCCAGAGAAAATCATTATGAGAATCAACACATATTAAGCAGAAAATGTCGATAGTTTTGTGAAAAAAAACTAAAATAGTTCAACCTTGTCTCACTAATTCAAGCAAGATCTGACAGGAAACTAAACAAAGAACAAAAACGAGCTGAAAATTCACAAAAATTACCTGATGCATTCCCCAAATGTTTCGTGTCTCTGAAACCAATAGTAACAGCAAGACACAACAGCATCAATATCCAGTTAATCTCTGGGATGTAGATTTGGCCATGTCTTTTAGAGGATGTATGAATTATTCGAACTCTAGGAAAGCAGCCCAATGCAGAGCATTGTTTGATGATTGAGAACGTTCCTGTGATGACAGCTTGGCTTCCTACGACTGCAGCAAGAATGGCTATACCTAGAACTGGCCATCTTATTTTCTCTGAAAATCCATCCCCCAAAATTTTACATATAATTAGATACCATTCACAAAAACTCTTAGTCTCTTACCTATAAGATAATTAAGATCAAAAGATTTATACAAACTTACCTGGTACAGATACATAAAATCCAATCCTGTAGTCACTTTGTAGAGAATGATGCTTAGACAGGTAAGCAGCTTGTCCCATGTATGCCAAGATCAAAGATGGATACACAATAAAACTGAATGCAATCTGTAGAGAGGACGTCTCAGGAACCAAGGTAAACAGAACAAGAAAATAAAATAAAGGGAAAATTATTGCTATGAGCATATACTTGAATAGACAACTGGGAGAAGTGTCCGAGATCTGCAAACATAGCTTCCGAACCTGAAGCAGATATAACTCAATATTAGACAAATCTGAAGTCATCAGTGGTAAATGACGCCATCAGCACATCTCTTTACCTGTCATGCATAGCAGGATTCCACCCAAAGACATCCACCCGCCTCTCTGGGTTTTTCTCAAAAACTTGTACATATAATATGGAGAGAGAGCTTGATATACATGGGGATTCCAGTGCACAATGTTGTATACACCAATCGCACTGATGCAGATAAGCCATGTTATCACTATTGGTGCAAATAGAATTCCTACGCGATGAGTCCCATAATGTTGGAGGGCGAACAACAAAATTAATATGACACATGCAACTGGAACTTCTATATCTGCGAAGAATTAGAATTTAATGGGTTGGTAACTTTGAAAAAACTTATGCATTGTCATAATTTTAATATCAAACTCTGACAAACCCCAGCAAATTAATGCCCACATACACTATATTGAAAAACCTATTAGCATAACAAGAAGGATGCAGAAAAGATTATGAACAAAGTAGAGAAAGAAAATTCTGTAAAAAATGATGCAAACAAAGGCCAGCTTTAGTCTTATCAAGGGACTAAATTCCGGGCTCTGGAAGTTTAGTCATAAATGAAAGTTTGTATTTGATACAGACAATCGAAAATATTAAAATCAATCTACTTTAAACTCCTTGAATACCATACACAGAATTATTGCTTTTAAGAGCCTAAATACCGAATGCCAGGCCAACATTGACCTCAATATTTCTCTGATGCCTTTCAAAAAGCTCCCACCTTGGAAAGGGTAGGAAATTCACATGATTACATAAATGCATCTATTGCAATTATTTGTTTATAATCAACCTTCCAAATTCCAATCGACAAATAAATAATCTAACAATTTCAGTGTATATTATTTTAGCCCAACAAAGTAGAAATTCAAAGAATATTAAATATTTGATTTTGTAGGAAACCAATTAGCACTGATTTATACGAATTAAAATATTCATATTAAAGCTACAAAACGGCTACATTATTGCAGTCACATAAAAACATAGAATCTTATGCACATCATAGCACAGCGGTTTGTTCAATGGAACGGCGATAGCAATGGACTTTTTTCTATATACAAACAAACTAAAGCATATCACACAGAATGAGAAGACGCCATTTATACAGACCTAGACTTAAAAAAATTTATACACCAGCAAAGGACACAATCGATGCTCTTATGAACGCTGATATGACTCATATGAGATTCAATGAACGCGCCATTTTCAGAATAAATGACAAATGAATAAGTTAATGTAACGATTCCCTTTAATAATCAGGATAAATCTATTCAAAAAAAAAAAAATCAGGATGAATAGTGTCCAGAATCTTCTTTTGTCATCAAGATGCTACAATCCGATAAACTATTGATAGATAAGCACTAGCGAGGTAAAGCTAGCAATGACAATTAAAAGAAGCAAGCTTTCAACAACTAAACAAGGAAATCCACCATTATCAGAATATCACAACAATAACATGATGGATTAATGGTAATAGAATATATTATAACCGATCACAGAAGATGTAATAGAATAATTAAAGATTTCGAACATGTAGGGCAACGCTTGACTAGTTCTTTTCAAATAACTTTTTGTTGATGCTCCCTTTATCGATCTCCAATCACGTTCCGTTAGCCATGGCAAAGAAAAGAGACAGCTTAACATGCATTATTAAAAAATTCTGTAGGCGAAAATTAAGTTGAAATCTACTTGCCATAAGTATTAAACATTATCCAGTTAATAAAAGGCCAGATAGAATATTTGATGTCCATTCAATTATAGAGAAGTCAGTATAAAGAATCAGATTAGTAGTCAAAATTAACGCGACCATATAAACCTTCCTCAAATGCAACTCTAATCCATTCTTTGTCCCTTTTTCTCTATTCATTTCCATGCATTTCCTATTAAACTAAATTACTACAGTTTCTCCATGAAACAGAGTTGATCTGTCTAATAGTCGAGGTCTATGATTCATCTTCATTTCACCTTAGAAACCGATGTCAAACCCTCAACATTCTAATACGTATGACATCTAGAAACTTATTTTAAACATTGAAATTTTGCAATAAGTATCTGAGGTAGAACTCAAACACATACTTTGTCTACACAACAACCCAATTCCGAGTAACATAGGTCAAGACGGTAGGTGACAAAAAACCTTCAAGGGACAAGTTAGACACCAACTAAATTCATGAAAACTAACAGAATCCATCAAAATCAAATTTGCCTTTTAAAATACAGTATTTATTTTTCTATGAGCCAAATTCCAATTAAACTACCAATTTTTGACCAAACAATGACCAAAAAATGATTAGATGCAATCAAACCCACAATTTCTGCCTAAACTTGTACCACAAAACCTATTATTCATATGAACATGTCATTTCACAATGTGAACTGAAACTTCCTTTTGTGCATGAGATGGCTAATTAGGCAAGCATCATAATAATAATAATAGAGCAAAAGTCTATCTTGAACATGATTTCCTTGGACCCACCACAGTGTGCATCTGTTTAAAAATTATTTTTTTCATGGTTTATATTACTAAGTATAGGTAACACATGATTTTGCTAATTCCAAACCAAGAGTATAAAACCTAATAATTATTAACTTTTTGTGAACTTTATTTATACACTTTATATATGGTTAAAAAAATTGCAAAGAAAAATAAAATCACAAAATCATCATGGTTTGAAGATATTAAAAATGACCTAATTCAACCATCCTATATGAATTTAAACTTTATGTCCTGTTATTTAACATTGGCATATATGATATATCATATCATGGAAAATAATATTGCTAACAGTGAAATTCCATTCTAATCAATGTTGTACAATGTATGTTAAAATTCCAAAAAGATTCCCTATAATTAGAAAGATTCAGTTTCATTCTATCTCTCAATTTGTTATCTAAAATGAAATTTAACTAAAAATAGATCACCAACTCACACTCATGATGCGCCCTAGCTGTTGTAAGTGAGAGCTCCAACCCAGAAACAGCTGAGAAAACTGCAACTCACAACAAAAAAACTTGTGAGAAATTACTCCTCCGGCCCGGATTAGTTGTCACGTCGATTACATAATTTGAACCAGTAACGTTACAACTCAAATAACACCGAAAAAAAATAAAAAATAACAAGAGTAGGAGTAAATTACCTGAAATTGCTGGTGTAAGAACTCCATCACCAATTACCATACAAGTACCAATAAGAGCTAAAATCAACAACACCTTATGCAAAGTCTTATGCTTCTCTAATGTCGATTTCAAGCTAGAATTAGCATTTTTATCAGCAGATATGAAATCATCCTTCTTATAAGCAGAAAGTTCTTCATCAACAATCTGGCAATTAGGCAAAGAGCTAACACGGGCGTGTCGACATAACAAAGAGTACAACGCAAATGTACCTCCTTCACCATTATCATCCGCTCTAAGTACGATGAAGACATACTTAAGCAATGGGATTAATGTTAATGTCCAAAAAACAAAGGACAAAACCCCATAAATTTCTTCATTAGTATCAGAATGATGAATATCTTCAGCAAATGCACTTTTGTAAACATATAATGGGGAAGTGCTTAAATCACCATAAACAACTCCTAAGCTTTGATATGCTAGAGTTAAAACTGTTCTCCAAGATTCCTTCTGCAAAAAAAATTCCAAAACACCATTAGTCAATCTTCTGTCAGAAAAAAATAAATACGGAGTACTCACTTTCCCCGGTTGCCATTACGGCACAATCACCGTAAACAGGAAGAACTTTAGTGACGGAAAAAACAGGGGTAAGTAACCATAATGGGTCCTACAATAAGAGACAATGAGAATTGTACAGGTGTCATACCTTGAATGGGTTATTGTTGTTTGATTCTAGATCCATAATTCTCTGTTCATGGAAGTTGAAAGTGGAAATAAAAATGACCCAGATGCTAAAATAGCTACCTTAGTTCAAACAAGTTGGAAAAATCAGAAATTCTAGGACAAAATTATGTTGGCAATAATATAGATCAAATAGGTAGTAATATTATTATTATTATTATTAATAATAATAATAATAATAATAATAATAATAATAATAATAATAATAATAATAATAATAATAATAATAATAATAATAATAATAGGAATGGGAGATCAGACAAGAACAATAACAGAAAGAAAGAGCAAAGGAATGAAATGGAAGGAAAGGCGGTTGAAGTAACTCAGTGATAGATAATAATGATAAGGAGAGAGAATGAAGAAGAATGAGAGGAGAGAGAAAGAGGAGGGAAAGAGTGTTTTTATGTAATTTGCGCTTTATTTAGGCTAGCAGGCATTATGTTATGTAGTGTCAGGTAATGAAATGTTTAAAAAAAATTATTAAAAAAAAAAAGCAAAATAAAAATTAAATATAAAGTTTCATCTGTGGTTGGCAACACTTTGTGGTCGGAGTTACTCGGTCAGCTAAGAGTTACTCAGTCGGCCATAAATTACTCGGTTAATCATGAGTTATTTAATCAAGGGTTACTCAGTCGATTAGGAATTAGTCAATCAGTGTTTCAATATGTGTCAATCGACTACACAGAAAACGCACCGAAAATAAAAAAAATTAAAATAAAATTAAAATAAAATAAATAAAAAAAATGAAAAAAAAAACCTTGGTTTTGGAGTTTTGGTGGGGTAATGTTATTTTCTGACACGATATATTCATTGGGCCGGTGTTTTGCTGTATATGGAGTACTATACTTTTTCTAATGGAGGGAAATTTATTTATTGTGTATATTTTTTTTGTATTTTTCTATACAGTGGTTTCTAATCAAGTTAATTGATGTGGACTATTGAGCTAAGGTGAGAGGAGGGAGGAGTCATGTTGTTTTAAAGGAGGGATGGGCCTGGAATGGGTTTGGACCACTTTTGGTCCACATATCATAAAGGCAGTGATCATAAACCCAATTTTAAGATTTAAATGGACTTGGACATGATACGACATAACTAGATGTGTCAATTCGAATGATCGAATCAGGTCTGATGAGGTAGGGTCAGGTCAAATTTTAAAGTTGAGTAATACTAAATTATTGTGTTCACGCGAGTCAAAATATAAATCGGATATTTTTCGGGTCGGTTTCGGATCGGGTCAGGTCGGGTGTTGTTTTAACACTTTACACAACAGTTGCAAAATAAATGTTGTGAAGAGAATGAAAAAATATACCACCTTCGTTACTGTAGGGAATTTTTAAAACTCAACTTTGAGCCCCACTGTGATCATGTTTTTAAACATGGTGGCATCCAAAGGGAAGGAAGCTAGAGAAAGAAGAGTTGCCAACAAGTTTTAGAAACTTGTAAACCGTTCACGGGTGTGAAGGTTACACCCCATTCATGATCACGAAGATCGCTAACTCCATAGTGGTCCGAAACCATGACTGGATATTCGGGGATGATGGTACGAATCCAACCTAAAAGAGATTGAACCCACCCTAAACGGCCTCTACTAAATACTTATGATATTCATGTGCGCTTTTCGATCAACATACATCCATCAAATTAATCCTAAACCTGCTTAATCTACGTTGGTTAATTATTAATGTACAATCAAATCTATTATTGGTGATCACTTGAGTTAAAATCATATTAGCCTAAATTCAAATTATTAATTATCTTATTAGGCGTGATTTCAAGTACAAATTTCCTTTAATCCTGCAAAAAGGGCGTGATCAAGCAATAACTATAAATCATGAATAATCAAGCAACATATAATTGACACAACAATCATCATCATAACAATATCATCAAACATGATTAGTAAGTTCCTAGGCATGATACTAAACGAATTAATAACAAATTCTAGCATGTAACTAATAATCAAGATCAAAGCTTTAACCTAAACATGATGCTAACAATCAAAAATCAACATCCTAATCATGATATTAGAAATCATAAAAACATCCTAATCATGATACTAGAAATCATAAAAACATCCTAACAAGATACTAGGAATCATAAAGACATCCCAACATGATACTAGGAATTAAAATAATATTTTAAGCATGATTTCTACTTCAAAATCTAAGAGTAAAGATAGTAGAATTATTCACTTTAATGTCTTGGCTTTCTTGCTATTAAAACAATACACGCGTTAGAAAACTTCAAGAAAGATTAAATCAAGAAAGTAAATAAATCAAATATGAATTGAAATATAGATTTGGGAACAAACCTTCAGAACTATCAACCTTTCACGTTGAAGGCAAGGGGTATTCGAATCTCGTGAATGAGGTATGGTGTTTGTTTGGGGAGAGTATCAAGGATGTGTTTAGGCTAGGCTACGGACATAAAAAATTAAGAGATAGAGAGAGTATTAGAGAGGGTATTGATTATGATGTGTTGGTGATTGAAAACGGGGTCACAACCTCTATTTATAGAGAAAAAAGAGATTCGAAGGATCAGAAAAGAGTTAGAATTCAAATCGGACTAAAACAAGTCTCATCGCGGCGCGACAGGTCCATCGCGACGCGATGGGACTATCGCGGCGCGATGGTGCTGTCGTTCTGCGATGGTTTTGGGAAGATAAGAATTCGTATGGAGTTTGATTCCCAATCGGATTGGGCTAACCAAATATCCGTACGTGTTCTATTTTGACCAGGACTAAGATCATCAAAAAAGAGATGTTTTATTCGATATCAAATTATTTATCTTTATCTATCGAAAACAGGATAAATTAGACCCTTCTAGAAGATTCTAGAAGCTTATAATAAATCCTAATGGATTTAGAGCTGAAAACAACCTTCTAGATGATTCTAGAAGCTTGTAATATATCCTAATTGGTTTAGGAATGAGATTAAAGTAAATTGACCATCCACGTGATCATTGGGTCGTAGGTAAGGCTTGGTTCGGGCTCGGTTTAGTATTTTTGCCATAACTTCTTCGTTATAAATCGGATTTGGGCCTATAATATATCACTAGAAAGCTCTTTTCAAACCCCATCCATCTAATCAATAATTGGGCCGAGATCATGAACTAAAATAGACAGGTTTGGACGTTTTTGTAAATGGGACATGAAATGAATTATTTTAAATGACGCGAAATGAATGATTTTGGCTTAAAACATTTAAGGAAAGGTTAGATATGGTCGAGGCTTAAGGGAAATTCACGAGACTCTTCAACTTTTCACCTAACTCGATAATCAAAGACGTGAAAGGTACTCATCACTGAGTTTGGTTTTTGGGGAGACACAATCAGGTGTCTACGGTTACATATTATTAGAGCTGTTAAAAGTTGACCCGAGCCGAAAATTTTACCTAAACTCGATTATGATTTGACTTGTTTGAACCCGAGAAATTGGTGACCCGACCTGAAACCAACCCGAGACTTGAGTTAACCTTAGAATTCGTGACCCAAACCCAAACATACATGACCTAACCTGAGATTACCCGTTCCTAAACATAACCCGTCAATTATTGACCTGAACCAAACCTGACCCAAATCCGTTTTAACCCGGTGAAACCCGAAATCAACCCGACCTATTACTATTCTGACTTGGAATAACCCGACCTATTACTAAGCCGACTCGAATTCAACCCGATCTTTTTAACCTGGCCTAAACCTGATGTAACCCGACTTGAATAGTAATGCAATTAACTCAAATTAACCCGAACCGAGCTAACTCGACCCAAACACTCAAATTGACAAATCTACCTTTAACATTGCTTATACATTGATTCCTTAAATCAACTTTCTCACACCATACACATATCTTATTAACTCTTATACTCTTATCTAATATAGCAAGTAATCTAGTTTAGCACATTAAGGCTTTAAAATGTTTCCCTTAATAAAGCTAGTTAATTTAGAAGGATTGTAATCCGAATTATAAAGCTAATAATAAAGAATGGAGTATTAAATTGGCACAACCAAATTAATGTAAACACCTTATATTTGATTTATCTATGTTGTCATATTTCAATTATGTACCACCATGTGAGACTATCCAAACTCAAAATTGAATTTATATGAAATTATTTATCCTAAAATAAATGAAAAAGATGTAGTCTAAACTTATTAGCTCGAATATGAACTTATCTGAAATTATTACTCTTACAATAAATGAAAAAATTGATAATGATTAAACATGACACGTCAATACATGAACAGTTAAGAAACCTATCCGAAAAATGTACCCGAACGCGATATGACACGACTTGAATTCAACCAGAGACCCAGATTAACCTAATATTTGAGACCCGAACCCGAACATGACCTTAACTAGGAATGACCCGACCTAATTATAACCCGCAAATTATTGACTTGAACCGAACTCGAGAATGACCCTAACATCGTTTTAACCTGTTAAAACCCAAATTAAACCCGACCTATTATTCACCCGACCCGAACTTGTTATTGACTCGACCCAAACCCGATACGATGTATGACTCGACGTGACCCGACTCAAGCATGACCCAACCTGAACCCGAACCATATAGCCGTATAGGTTACAACATTAACCCGAATTGACCGACCCAAGTTGACCTGACCTACCCTAACCTGACCTAAACACGACCCGTTTACCTGATTTGACAGCTCTACATAGTATATACAACAATTGCACAAAAAAAAAAAAAGAAAAAAAAAGCTACACATTATATCAAATCATCAAACTAAAATTTTCCTTTTTTAGTAATTTTTTAATGAATTTATTAATTTACCATTACTTAAATTTAACTCAAATCATCTTTTTACTCAAATTTCATTTCTCTCTCACCATCCCTTCCAACCACCACCATCACCACCACCGATCTCTACTCTCTCTTCAACTACCTATAAATTTCCCTTCTCAATCTTTACCTCTCCTCCCATCTTGATCGCCATCGTCAATAGCGACCACCACTTTCTTCGCTCGAAGTTACCTCGATCTACCCCAATCTCTTTATCGTCGCCTCTTCCTTCTCTCTCTTCCTTTTCTTTTTGTTTCATCATTTCCACTAAAGCTCTTAAAGGTTTTATGGCCATATTTGACCATCTAAAGTTTTTGTAGTCAAATCAGACCAAATACTGTCTTTTATC